ATTCGATTCTTGATTTTTGGTGGGCCCGAAATCATCGTATAGAGATATACGAATCTCAAAAAAGATAATAAGGGTTGTTAAAAGGGTAGAGGGGGAATAGGGAAAGGTCGTGAAGGAGCAGATTAGAAGGGGAGGATGCATCATCATTCGCGAAATTAATTCATCTCGTTTATACTTGTTATTTTTTTGTTTTTTTTTTCGTAAAATTCAATTTTGTAAAAATATTTTGTTCCATGAAAAACTCGTGTTGATGATAAATTTTTCATAGGGAAAAAAAATAACAAAATGTGAACTATGCCCATCTTATTTCTATCGCGAAGTGTTTTCTCTTTCATTCTTGTTCTATTCGTTTAAAAACGATAGATAGATAAAAAATTTAAACACGTCTTTTAATTTTTTTTATTTTCCTAATTCATTAATTAGACAGTTACCATATTAATTTGTCAGATAATTTGAAGATTATTAATAGCAACGTCTGTAACAAGTGATCCCACGTGGCCCCATAAAAAACAAAACAATTTTCACGAATTTATCACGGACACTGAACGCGTTAATTATTCGAATCTTATTATTATTTAATTGATTTACTTAATTAATAGCAAAAGCTTGACCACGTATTTATTTAATTCACCCTTACTCGATCCCCTTTCTCCTCTAATAATTTAAAACATAAAATAACCTTTTTTTTAAAATTGCAACAGACTTTCCGAGCAATTCGATACACGTGAAAAATAACAAATTGCATATAAGAAAAATAGGGAGATATGGATGTTAGATAAAATAAAGGTATGATATTAAATGCTTGTAACATTTTAATCTATACAATTACATATCATCAATATATTTTTCAGGAAATATATCTGATGTAATGTAATCTTAATATATATATATATATAATACATTGATGATATTTGTGTCATTATTATTTATTTTTATATCGTTTACTTTTGTTTATTTTTCTTTCTTTCATTATAAGCATATGTATAACGAAAGTACAAATAATAATAATAATAATTTTATTATTATTTATAATTGTAATTATAATTATAATTATAATTATATTAATAACGACGGTGTGTTAATGATAATAATATTAATAATAATAATAATAATAATAATAATAATAATAATATAATAGTAATGATAATAATAATAATAATAATAATACCGTAGAAACGTCTATAAAATAGTAGTAATAATAATAATTATTATTATTTTAATAATAATAATAATAATATTAATTAATAATTAAAAAAATTAATATTTTATAATTAATAATTATTATTACATCGTTTCTAATGTTTCATATATTTAATTAGATTAGGATATACCTCATTTCTAATGGTTTTTTGCCGTATTCGTTCGTATTTACATAATATCACACGTAATATAAATCCGTAGTATAATGTAATCGTATTGATTGAACACATATACGCGACTCATTCGCATATATTATTATTATTTTTTTGTTCATTTACTCCATCTCCTTTTTTTTCATTTACCTTTATACTATTTTAATTGTAAACGCTTAATTAGTTTTTCTCTTTTCTCTATCTATTACGTAACCTTAGACAATTTTAACTAATTATTTACAATACTTCCATTTTATACTACATATTTATACATGTATATTTATATTTTTTTTTATATATATATATATAGACATATTTACGCGTGTATGTGTTAACGTGCGCGCGCGTGCGTTGATAAAACGTTATCCTGGACAATTTCATTAATGAATGATTTTTATTTAAAAAAAAAAATGACACACATGTCGTCGTTCAATGAAATCATTAAGAGATCAATATATTGTTATTTTTTTTTTTATTAATAATAATTTTTTCCATGAATTTGTCATTTTATCAAAGCATCGCACGCAATATACGCAAAAATTTATTGTTTGTAATAATTAATGCATCTCGTTTGCATGAAAATATATAAACTTGGATTTAAACGCACTTTTCTCAGCCCATTTTATTTTCTCTTTTAAGAATGAAAATAAATTGGACGAGTTTAGAGAGATCAATTTAGATTATTTAAAACTTCTCGTCGAACGATCGATTATCCCCAATTTGTTTTATTTGTTTTACATAATTCCATAAAACCCATATTTATTTATATGAAATCTTTTGATTGAAGTAGGGGATAGACGGGGAAGAGGGTTACGTGCTTTAATTTTTACTTTATTTAGAGATGAGGTCATTTCATTGCTCGAAAAAATAATTTATTTTTGAATATTTGTTACTTTCGTTGAAGTTTTGCCGAAAATTAATGTTCTGCATGCATGTTTTTCATTTGCCAAATCATGGCTTTGCCATTTTGTAACGATTTGCAATAGACAAAAATTTATCAACGTTGACGAAAGTGTTAAACAATAAAGATCCGTAAATGAATTTCGTGTTTTATTTATCGGATCTTTATTAAAAAAAATTATTCACAAAAATAGGCTATTTTTTCGAGCGTAAAATTACAAGTGGTATTTTTTACTCCATAAAACAACTTCTTTGTCTGTTTCTTTGTTCGTCAAATCTTTTCAATTATCTTTTTTTTTTTTCTTTCTTTTTTAGGCACGAAAGTGACTGAAATTGTACATCAGTTTTTTTTTGTTCCTTTGTTTTTACTTGTAAATCTATGCTAATTTTTTTTTTTTAATTTTTTCTTGTTTGTTTCTCGTTTTATCATTTTTTTTTTTCCAAAAATTTACTTCATTTTGAGAGAATTTTGCTTCCTTCTTCTTCTTCTTTTTTTTCTTTTCTTATTTTTTTTTTTTTTTTTTGAATCTCGTTAAACTTAGTCTCTATTTCTATGACGAATCACGCTCCAACAAGAGACRCAAAACGATTGACGATATGTTAAAATAGAAATTCTTATATAATATGTGGGTTTTTTTTTTTTTTAATTTTTTGTTTTTTTTTTTGTTTAGATAGACTTACAATTTAAACATCACCGCTGTGAATACTTTTGTCTCGTTTGTATAAGTGCATTTATTTATTTATTTATTTATATTTTATGCGTTTGTTTAGTTTTGTATTTTTTTTTGTTTTTGTTTTTGGTATTCATGCTCTCACTTTTATTTTTCCTTCATTCATTACAAAATTCATTATCACATACAGACTGTTTCATACGTTAATTCAATCTTTCATTCTTTTGAGGACATACAAATTTTGTGTTCATGCGTGTGTTTTTTATACTCACGTGTATTTTTGTTTCTTATTCGCGTACGTGCAAACGTTCGAACGTTTGTTTGTTTGTTTGTTTGTTTTTTTTTTTCTTAATCAAATAAAAAAAGAAAATATTTTCTTTCTCATAACAAAAAGTTTGAAGAGTTCTTTTTTCAAAATTATAAATAAAAAAAAGAAAAAAATAAAATAAAATAAAATAATAAATATATAAAAGTTTAACACGCTTTAAAAAATCTCAACGTTATTGCAATTTTGTCGTCATCATATAATTTAAATAAAAATAAATTTTCAAAATAAATTCGTCGTCGTTGTAATAAAATAAAATAAAAGGTAATAAAACAAAAAATAGAAAACAGAATGGTGTGGGGAGTACCCCCGGATGGGTACATAGAGGTAACTTTATTGAAAATAATTTTAATTTCGAAACTTAGAATGTGGCAATGTATATCCTTTTTATATTTTTTTTTTTTTTTTTTTTAGTACGAATATTACCAATCTTAAATTAGGACAAAAAAAAGACAGAAAAATAAATAAATTAAATTAAATTAAATTAAAGTAAATTAAATTAAATTAAATTAAATTAAAAGAGTAGTAAAAATAATAATATTTTTTTTGGGTTTTTTTTGTTTTTGTTTTTTTTTTTTTTGTGGAATACGAGTATTACCAATTCTAAGTTTAGAAAGAAGGACAAAAAATAAATAAAAATAAAATAAAGTAAAATAATAGAGTAGAATAATACAAATGGAAAGATAATTTAGCAAAAGATTGAAAGATTAAGAATGTATGTTTGTTTTTGTTTCTTTTCTCAGATTGTTCCATCTTTCCACACGTTGTTTTATCTACATACGATTGATAGAAGATTGACAAGATATCGTTGTTGAAATCTAATATATATATATTTTGTTACATTTAATACGTATCTAAGATCAAAAATATGGCGAAAATATTTGTCATCGTAGAATGTAAAGCAAAAATATATAAAAAGAGTTAACATACAACGATCAGTATCTCAACCAATAACATCAAACTATAATAAGATCATGATCGAAGAAGCGTGTTGAGTGGAAAGATACGAAAAATCCAATGAGACAGACTGACATTCATTTTTCTTATTGAATGATTTGAACGTTTTCGACGTTGCATTAGAAATATCGCTGTATCGGAGAAAGATCAGCAAGATTTCGTGATAGCGAGTAGTAGTAGTAGTAGTAGTAGTAGTAGTAGTAGTAGTAGTAATAGTAATAGAATAGCAGTAACAGTGATAGTAATAGTAGTAATAGTGGTTTTAAGAGTTAACAGACTGGAATAAAAAATATCCTAATACTAAGTACATTTAGAAAAATTATTTATCCATTTTTGACGTAACATTTTTAAAATGTCCTCGCAATTGATCAAAAAACGGAACATCTACAATGATCAATCAAAAAAAACACGCAAGATATACCAAATGATATTATCCAAAATTTAGTAGCTTCCTTTATAAACACATTAATTAAAAAAAAAAAAAAAACAAATTGCAACAGAACAATATTAAAAGCAGATATGAAAGTGAGGTGTTGGTGTAAAAATAAAAGCACTCAAGTATAAGCACAAAAATAGAAATGATAGTTTTACTATTCGAATATTAAGATTGTAAATTGTAAGATTTAAAAAAAAAAAAAAAATGAAATATTGTTGTTGTTCCAATTGTTAAGTTTATTAATTTTATCGTAAACGTTTGTTTGATGATCTATCGGAGGAATGAGAATGGTAAATAATTTTTCTAAGTGTTAGAATTAGAATTAAAATAAAAAATAAGAGAATAAAATAAGAAATAAAGATAAAAATGAAATGAAAATAAAAAATGAACATTGTTGTTTGTTGTTGTTTTTAGTAGGCGGTCGCTTGATGATGCATCAGAGGATTAAAGTGATGATGGCCTAGATGATGAGGAGGCGGAGGTCCTGGTAATGGACTATGTTGAGGAGCCACGGTTGGCGGTTGGCAAACGTACCACTCCGTCAACTCGGTTCCACGAGTTACAGGGTGACTCGTAGACGGGTTGTTAGACGTCGTCGTCGTCGGGACAACCGGTGTTGGTTGGGGTGATTCTGTATTACCGGTCACCGACAAACTACCCCCGCTGCTGCTACTTTCTTCACCCTCGCTTTCGTATTCTCCACCCGTCTTACCTTCCCCCATCGTCATACCGTGCACCTGTAACACATATAACGTGAATCGTATTTTATTTCTTTTTTTTTTTTTGATATATGAATGAAGAGATTAGAGAGAGAGAGAGAGAGAGAGAGAGAGAGAGAGAAAGAGAGGGAGGAAGATTGGGTATAAATCGAAATAATTAATATAATTAATTATAATAGAATAAAAATTTTGTTGTCATATTTTATTCATTAACTTTGATCATCTTATTAAAAGAACAAGATTCACAATATTGAATTTATTATAAAGTAAATCGATTTAAAAAAATATTCTAAAAGTAATATTACATTTTTATAGTTTTACAGTTTATGACAGAATTAAATGATAAAATAAGAAAGAAGGTGGAATGGAATTTGGTGTTGAGAAAACAACCTTCAAGGTTTCGATATCCAAGATAGAAAGAAAAAGAGAATATCTTTGGAAGGTCAAGAAGATTGAAGAAGAAGAAGAAGAAGAAGAAGAAGGAAACGAAAGGAAGGAGTATGATGATGAAAAAAAAAATAAGATATATATGTGTGTGTCTGTGTATGTGTTGCGGGATACGGGATGATGTTTGAGGGATCAAGCCGAAAACGGGCGAGAACCGGGAGGATCCGTCATCCTCGTCCTTCTTTCATAATTCAGTGAGCAAATCTCGTCGACTGCCTTCCGCGAATCTCCTTGGTCAGATCAAGAAAAGTTAAGAGAACTTGAAAGTGTGTGAAATTTTGTTCCAACATACAAACATACATACACACATATGTGCTCGTACACGGTAAAATAGGTTTAAGCGTATCTTGGGAGTCGTCTTTCTATCCCTTCTTTTTTATCTTTTTTATCTATCAATCTATCTATCTATCTATCTATTTTTGTTGGTTTATTTATTATACTTCACATAGCCACGAATCTGTCGTGCATAAATCTCACGTCAACATTTCGTGTATCGTAACTTATGCTACCTGTATAAGGTTGTTCTAAAATTAATTTCTTTTCTTATTTCTTTTTTTTAATCGACATAAAATGAAAGAAGATTTAGTAAAAAGACTAGAATTCGAAGTATTCAAAATTAAGAAAAACAAAATAAATAAATAAATAAAAATGATTTCTACATTGATACAGTTAATACATTGAACTCGTTCGAATAGATATTTTTGTTCTCCTCGAATTGAAATTATATGAGATCAATTTGAGTGTATATTTGTTCAGCATGTGTGCGGGTTAATAAGAAAAGGGAAATTACTTTACTATGTTATACCATTTTCCTATATTTTCTTAATATGAGCTGGTGTACCTTCATATGTTTACGCAACGAACTTGGATGAGTGTAGGATTTGTCGCATCCTGCAACTCGACAATTGTAAGGTTTATCCGAAGTATGAACGTGACTATGTTTCTTGCGATCACTGCTGTTAGCGAATCGCCTTTCGCATCCAGAAAATTCGCATTTGAATGGTTTCTCGCCTGTAAATAAACAAAATATATCAAATTAGTATCATCTTGAAACATTGCAATAAATATCATTAATTAAACTTTAAATTAAATTAATAACGACAGGAACAGTTATTTCAATTCAAACATTTTTACGTGTTAACGTAATTGAATTCAAATGACTGTTCCATAATCGATTAGAAAAAAATTACAATTATTAAATTGCATAACAACAAATATGATTTGATATTGTCGCATCAAAATGAAAATAATTTTATTCATATATATGAAACGTGTGTCATAAATTTTATTTAAATTGTTATATAAAAATTAACACGATATCATCATCGTAAATAATATTAAATATTATTCTTAGCTTCATTATTTCTCTAATTAAATTTAATCGCTTTAAATATAATTAATTATCATCAAGTTTTTAATTAAAAATTGAAAAATAAACGATCATCGAAAAGAAACAAAATGAAATAAAAAACAATTGTCAAGTTTGAATGAAAAAAAAAAAAAAAAAAATTCCATGAGAAAAGAAAGAAGAAAAAAAAGTGTTATTAAGTAAAGCCTACGTGTTAGGGAGGAGATGAGGTGGGGAGGGTGGCGTAATGGTTGACGGAAGGGGAGAGGTGTAATTAAAAGGAGATTAAGAAGTCTTTGGTTATAAAAAAGTTTGTACCGATTTCCGTGTATCTCGGGGTTGGTCGTAGGGTTCTTTTCGTTGGGTCAAACTTAAGAAGATAAAAAAAGATAAAAAAAAATATTGAAAGATAAGATCTTTCTCTCTCTCTCTCTCTTTCTCGTTTCACCCTCTTGTCTTCTCTCTCACACGAATGATTGCCATAGTCGTTGAAGTATACGTGAAGTACACGTGTATATGTAAATGTATGTATAAATGTACATAGTGGGTTCATGAACGCATAAAAGTGTACGTATGTGTGTGTGTGTGTGTGTGTTTGTGTGTGTAGTATGAGCGTGTGGCGTGACTCTTATTTATTTCCAGCGGAAGTTGACTGGAATATATTTTACCGTCGGTTCGCACCCTCATCCCTTTTTTCTTTTAACCAAAGAGGGAGCCATCCACCCTCCTTTTCCGGAAAAAGAGAGGAGAGGCTTTTCCTCTCCTGGCACTCTCTCTGGCTTGAGAAAAGACCAAGCCGGAAACGCGAACTTGGCGGATTTTTTATGGTGAAAATGGCGGCCAACTTCTTCCTCCTTCTTTTTTTTTTTTCACTCGTTTCGAACGTGTTCTTTTTTTCTCTTTTTTTTTGCGTTTCAAAGTGTGAACGCTCTATGGGTTGATAAGGTTGAGAAAGAATAAAAAAAAAAAATATATATATATATATAAGGGATAAAAAGTGAGGGAAATTTCTTTATCCTTTTTTTTTTCTTACCTTGGAAAATCTCGAACTTTTAAAAAACTCGACTTTTATTCGCCAAACGTGTAGTTTAATAAAGAAGTATTTTTTTTTTTTTTTTAATTACGTGCACGTGTGATACAAAAATATATATTGATAAATAAGTTATTACATTCAGAAAAAAAAATACCATAAAAAATATGGTAATCGTGGGAATGTAAAGTTCGTTCAAGCGTGATACCGACAATTACAAATCTATCTACAAAATCATTGGAATTTTGTTATAAAATTTTTTAGATCACAAATCTAGAAATGTAATAAACATTAACAATTTTTATCTTGATCAATTTTAATTATGTCCAATAATAAATAATCACATATGGAAGAACATTTTCTATTAGGGAATATTGTTATATCGCGTGTAAAGATTTATCGATTTTCATTTGATTTATTCGCCTTAAGGAAAGGAACACTATATAAATAATGTTTAATAGATAGCTATTTAACTTTTCTGTCATAATCAGCGTGCTGCAACGTGGACGTCGTTATTCATCTCACGTGTGAAAAGTACGATAAGATAAGAAAAGTTTCGATTGACGTATCTGCTACGACAAAGATTATATTCAAATCGTTTGGTCGAACGTGGTTGGTATAATACACACACATACATATACACGCATATATGCGAGTGTGCATATTGCTCCTGCCAAGAACGTTGAACGTCATATACAGAAAGGTGCTTTAAATATTTATGAACTGAGGGAAAAGAAATAAAAAGAAAGAAAGAAAGGGAATAAGAGAAAGAGAAATAAAGAAAGAGAATGACAGAGAGAGAGAGAGAGAGAGAGAGAGAGAGAAAGAAAGATAGATAGCATTTTATGCACGGTGTCGACGCTTATCTCGAACGTCGAAATAGCAACGTTTCTGTTCCCTCGTTTTCAACGTTGTTACTTAAAGTCTCAATCGTTCGAATAGTTTTTCATTTTTTTTTTGTTTTTGTCTTTTTTTTTATCCACCTCTTTTTCCNCCCCCCCCCACACGCATCAAACCCACGTATATATATATATATATATCACACTTATGAAAATTGTTAACATCACAGTCGTGCAAATTTCAATGTTAATTTTCTTATCACACATTTTGTATTTTTTATTATTTCACCATGAATTCTTACATCTTTTGACGATCAATTAAAAATTTAAAACCCAATTTAACATATACGTAAACAATATTTTAAGGGATGATCGATAGATTGATTATGATTTCTTCATACCTATGGAAAAATGCCAACAATAATCATCATCCCTATCCATGGGGGATTATAATAAAAAAAAAAAAAAAATAAATAAATGTGAACCGTATGAAAAAAGGATAGTCTTGAAATCCTTTTCATTCCTTTTTCTTTGCACTCTTTCCACATACGAAAACTGAACGATTAATAACTTTGAAAATCTGTCCCCAACAGGAACGTCAGAGGTAAGGGGGAGAGGGAGAAGGACGGTAGCTCTAGCATTGGCAAATAAATAGCAGATAAATAAAACGTGCGACTTCGTCTATCTTTTTCTCTCTCTCTCTCTCACACACACACATATATATATATACACTTTTACTCTCTCTTTCTTCCTAACATTCATATGGACCATTCTATGGATCTGTGCGTGTGCAGATGGCAACAATATGCCGTGAAATATTGCCTTTGGCATACTCGCGTGCACGCGTAACTACTATCCACATTTATATATCCATATACACATACATACATCCATATATATATATATAGATATAGATATAGATAGAAAAACGTATATGAGAGTATTTTAACAGTAGTATGGTCTAAAGCGAGTTCTTCGAAACTCGAAATTCATGGTGGTGGTGCATGGTGAAACGAAGGTGCTTTGCTAGGAAACACACAGACAGATATACAGACAGACAGAAAGAGAGTGAGAGAGACATCGTAATGGTATGCGTATCCAAGGGGACCCTCGAGAAGAGTGGTGGAGGATCCCGAAGGGCAGTGTAGGCACCGTGTTATGACTTTCAGAATGGGGAGGCACAATGGCCCAGATCCGCGTCGGATAAAATAGTTATTATAATCGTTTTGGCTACGGCTGGGATCGAACAGAAAGAATGAGAGAGCAAAAGAAAGATAGAAAGAGAGAAAGAGAGAGAAAGTGAGTGAGATACAAGTTCACCAAGAAATAAAATCCCGTTCGAAGGTGTATTTTAAGTTTATGTATAAGTTTTGTACGAGTTCTTCTTCTGTATGTGTGAGTATAAGCGTAATACTTACGAGTATATCATCAATGTGTGCGTTTTTCTTTCGTTCATCTTTACCAACTTTATCTATCGATGCTCATACTCCTCTTATACGTGTATATATATATATATTTTTATAAGTGTGTGTTAGGAAGAATTTTACTCATGTTTGAAATCCTTCGTCTAGTTTCCAAATAGAATAAGATAAGATACAAATAACTGGATTAGAAAAAAAAAGTGCGATCCTAATCGCAAGCGTGTATACGAATCATCTAAGTCAGCTGTTAGTGATAATGAAATAAGCAAATCCGAGGGGTAGATAATTTGTTTATTTATTATTCTTTGTAATTTCTTCAAGATGCATCGAGATCGTGCGTGACTTTGATCGACTAAGTTTGATATTTCGTGAAATTCTCTTTTTTTAGGGGACCAAACAGAACGATACGTAAAATTGGTATTACAAAAAACGTAATATGGAAAAAGTTAACTTTTCTTTTTTGGTTTTTTTTTTCATATTTATTTCCGATCGTTAAGAATTATTTCAAGATTTATGAAGATACCGTTTAACGCTGGAACACATGCCGAAAGAGATTTAGGATTTTTAAGGTTTTTATTTTTTTTTTTTTTTTAAAGTTTTAAGAAGAAATCTAGAAGCTTGTTAAAAGAAGAATGAAAAATAAGAAAAAGTCAATGTTGACTTGAAAGAGAAGAACAAGGATGAGAAACAGACTAAAATTTTTTTCTTTTTTCTTTTTTTTTTTATACTTTTTTTCTCCCTCTCTCTCTCTCTCTCTCTTTCTTTTTTTCTCTCCCTTAAAAAGGAAACTCATTGAAGTACAGTTTTCAGGAAAAACCTCGGAATGATATATGGGCGTAAACCATTGTCCTGTCTGGGGCCTGAAAGTTGCAACCACTTTTATCCTATCCTAGACTCATTCTCGCTTTTTCACACACACATATATACACATATACTTCATCATATTTCCTTCTACTTTTCTTCTATGGGTTTCTTGGACTCGCGCGAAGGATAATGGATGATTTTTCAGCATTGTGTGCCTCGGATAGGATAGCAGTCTTGGGTCCACTACTGAACACATTGTTGCCAACTTTACTCAAAAAAATAAAGAAGACCGACCCTTAGCTATTCTGCTTATGCCGTACTAGGCCCTTCGACCTATTTCTTACCTCGTACTATTTCATTCTTTTTTATTTTCAACTATGATCTCTTCCTATCCATTCTACTAAAGTTCTCGAGTGGATAATTTCCTTGTTATACGTTCGACATTAACTTGAAAACGAAAATGATATATATATATACATATTTCATATTATTCTATATATATATATATCCCAATATTTTATCTTTCTCTTTATACTATTATTATTATTAATATTATTATTATTTGGTGG